AAATAAACACTTTGACCTTTGACCTTTGATTGAGTAATGGAAGAAAGATATAAGCAGACAAAGTACAAAATCGAGTGGAATTATGATGCATTAATTACAAGCAGTAGAAAAAAGAACCGTTTTTATCTTAGTTTTAAAATTGGCTCCAGTTGGGGCAGATCTAAGTTCTAATGGGATCTGGTTCCAGCTGGGGGCAGCATCATATCTAAAACCACTTTCAGAGTGTTTAGTTTGGACTCTGGGCACCACTAACTGACCAGCCCCTGCAGATCTGAGACACCTACCAGGCTTGTACTCAGCAAACATGTCTTTGATGTATTTTGGGCCAAGACCATTATGAGACTTGTCTAAACTAAATTTTAGTGCAAGTAACAAATAGTGCAAACTCATTACATTTTTTAGCCATCAGGAACTCAAGTGGTGGCTGCAATGGGGGACTGGTTAACCTATCAGCAGTTACATATAAAGCATGGGTGTTATTAATATTTCCATTAAAGATATTACAGAGACGATTTGTTAGTGTATGTTTGATTTATTTCACATTCAGGTTTACTGATTACTCAGTGTTCACCCAGGGAAATGCTGTAACACTCACAGGTCCAGGCAGACTTGAGGGTGTGGTTGTCTGTACTGGAGGAAGTTTAGTTGTAGACTGAGGTGGGTTAGGTGTAACACCATGCTGATAAATGATTGGTCCAGGAACTCTCTCCCAAAATACATCGTAGTGGGTGACTACAGTCACTCTGGAAAGTAAACCCAGACATCTAAACTTTGAATATTATGTCTGGGATATACAGTCACACAATATCTTCAACAGTCAACTTCAAATTATTAGTTACTGTACAGCTGTGCTATTATTATTTAGACATCATTTGGAATTTGTATATTATATGCAGAATTATACAACTTGTTGCTTTAGAAAAAGTATTAAACTCACAAAAACTGAACCTCTGTGGGAGGGTCATGAGGGGCGTTCCAGATGACAACAACCTCTGTCTGTCTGGCACGACTCGTATGGCTCACTGCTGACCCCTAGACACACACACACACACACACCTACACATACTTTGTGTTCCATTCTTCATCGTTACTGCTATATTATGTGTCTTTGTATGCATATGCACACCTGTTGCTCATTACAGATGAGCAGCTGTGTCCTGCTGGGATCAGTCAGGGTGAAGGTGCCAACAGTTGATGCTGAGATGTTCTGAATGTGTGTATCTCTGGCCTGAAGTAGGAAGCCCTCAAAATATGATGTTCCAGATAGAATGACTAAAAATGTTGAAAGTATTTTAAAAAGGATTAAAATTATATTTATGTATGCAATTGGTTCTATATGAATACTTTACTACTTAGTGTTATTCAGGAAGCTAAGACATTTATTTATCCATCCATCCATTATCTATACCACTTATTCCTGAATAGGGTTGTGGGGGGCTGGAGCCAATCCCAGCTGACATTGGGTGAGAGGCAGGGTCCACCCTGGACAGGTCACCAGT